CTTCTTCAAATTATGGGTGGGATGGACTTTGGAATGTGAGCCTTGATGCACCAATGATAGCAAAATGATTCAAAGAGGAGCAAAGTCCACGTTAAGAGGTTGGTGTCACAAGTAGGTGGTGCCAGAGATCATATTTTACTTAGATGAGTATTATGTTTTGATCTTTGTTTTGTTCAGCTTTCATTCTGATTTGTTTCATTTTGTAAAATTTCCTTTTATTTAGTGATCTAATCGACTGGCATTGATCAGTGGATATTGAAAAAAATATGTGATGGAAATAACCACTGTGATGTCACCAACTGATGAACAAACTCATTTTGTGAAGCATTTTTAAATTTCATTCTTGGTGTTATAACCGAATATGATAAGAAAGAATAAGGAAACAGAAACTTTACAATGAACTTAGTGCTAAGTGCAAGAGGGGGCAAGAGTTGCCCCCTGGTGGCCATTCTTGGTTTCATTGTCATTGTTATCTTCATCCATCCATCCATTCTCTTCTCTCTTCCCCTCTCTTCTCTTCTGCTTATCCTTGTCAGGGTCGCGAGGGAGGGGGGGAGTCTATCCCAGCTACCATAGGGCAAGAGGCAGGGTACACCCTGGACAGGTCACCAGTCTGTTGCAGGGCTAACACATAGAGACAGGCAACCATTCACACTCACATTCACACGTATTATCATTCTTTTTATTATTATTATTGTTGTTATTATTATTATTACTAGTAGTAGTAGTAGTAGTGGTGGTGTTCCTTGCAAAAAAACACCCTATGGGGTGTTTTTGTCAGACCTGTGGTTCTTCACTTATGTATTAAAAGAAAGAAACGTATGTTAATTTATCATATTCTTTTTTCTTTATGTATAAATACATCTATTTATTAATCATTTGTTTGGTTTAATGCAGAATGAATAATAGGAATAGACACGTGTATATACACTATAACTATTAGAGTAAGATGATGATGATGATGATGATTATTATTATTATTATTACCATTTGTAATGGCTACCAGGTAACCCAATGCAGAGCAGTTAAGCCAATGCTATCTTTTATATACAGTCTATTCACTAAACAAGTGTGTGTCAGTGTGACACCAGCAGGTCCACTACAAGCATCTTTTTGTGATGTGTCACTGTGTAAATGTGGTGACCAAAGACATGTCCAGTGTAATTCACAGCAAAGTGATATTGACTATCCATAGAACAGAGGGCAGTGTGAAGAAGTGGCCTGTTGCATACAAGGACATGTTTCTTCCTGAAAAACACTTAGTCCACAATCACCACTTGTGATTTCATTAAGAAACTGTCAGTGTCAGGGACACTAATCAATACAAGTATGAGTGTATGTAGTCCTAGAAAGAGCAGGATTACCTGTCGCGTGTCAGACAACATTTCAACTTGTCTCCATAGAATAACGGAGACTGAGGCCCAGAGACTTTCTTCAGCACGGACAAAACGAAGCAAAAACAAACAGGAACAAGCGGATCGTGCCATCATTCACAGACATTGTTCACCTAAAGTCATTTTATAGTAATAACTAATCTGTTATGCTCGGGCTACCGCAGCCTTGTACGCTTTATTTTCAGTTGTTAAGCACTTATGTAAATTCACGTTATGTAAATTTGGCTCTTTATTGCGACCAGCAACTGACAACATTACTCAGGATGCTAATTCAAACTACCTGGAAAGACAAGCAAAAATAATGTGATACACAAACCCTGTGTAGAGACCATTGCTTTAAAAGTCTCTGTGCTTTTAGGCTGATGCAGATAACGGTGGAAACTAAAAGATGTGTGTGTGTGTGCGTGTGTACGTTTGGTGTGTGTGCAGCTGTCCTGTGGCCCAAAGACAGGCACGCACTTACCGATGGTCATTTCAATGTAACGTTTCACCAGTTTGAGGTTCCAAACCATAATTAGCTCTGCTATAGAAAAGAGTATATAAACCAGCTGTAGGTTTTGGTTCACTGGTTCACATCACTGGAGAAAGGTTATTCAAACTGTAAACTATTGCTTTAACTGCCAGAAAACAGAAATGGTTGAATCACTGTTCTGTATGGTTTTCAAAGATTTTTTTCTTTCTTTTTCATTCACTGTTAAAGTAGCTCTGATGTGCTTATATGCAGCTCTGGAAATGATTCTGAATCAGTGACCTGTGATTTTGCTGTTCTAAGTAAAGCTGGGAAGACTTTGAATCTCTATATTTGCTTTGTGCTTTTTCGCATTGCCCGTTTGATTTACTATAATATTGGGTGTCTTGAGGTGTAGACAGGATTTCATTTCACTCTTTACACTGAGAGCATCTGCTGAGTCACATATGAGTAATGTTACCACTCTATAAGCTGCAAGCACAACACTGACATATGTTAGAAAAACATTCGCCTAAATGTCCAGCTGATATACACCCACCAGCCACTTTATTAGGTCCGGCTGTTCAACTGCTTGCTTATTTAAGTCAGCCAATCATATCGTGATTACCCACATGGTATGTTTGTAGGTGCCAGCGAGGCTAGTCTGAGTATTTCAGCTGATCTGAAGGGATTTTTCCACACAAAAAGGACAAGTCCTGTGCAAGTCCTGCAAGGTGACTGAAAGTCTCCTCCATCCCCATATTGACTCACCTGTCTGATGGCAGACAGTAGCTTTCCGTAGCAGAACACAATCACCAGGAAGGGCACGATGAGGCAGAATATAAACAGACATATGATGTAAGAGATGTTATTCGCTGTCTTGGCTGTCCAATCGACAGAGCAGGTGGTCCCAGGTCCCTCTGGGCCGTAGTGGCTCCAGCCAAAGAGCGGCGGCAGGGTCCAGATAAGTGAGTACGCCCAGGACATGATGATGCCAAGGGAGATTTTACGGTAGTTGGAGAAGTCCGCCTCAGTGGGAGCCATCATAGTGCTGTAGCGCTCATAGGAGAGGACAGCCAGAGAGATGAGGGACACAATGCCTAGAGCACAGAAATACAAAGGTAGGCATTATACAGACACATATGGTATTTCCCCCTTACTATTCAGACCATTAAAGTCATTTTAGTTAGTTTGAT